AATTTTCTTTCTTCAGGGTTTTGTATTGTTCCGATGTCGAGGCGGAGGTCGTAGCTGTATGCCACGGATGCAACGGAATAAATGGCGATCAGGATGGTGTAGTATCAGCCCAGGTGTGATTTATCTTTGGCCTCTCGACAAGCAGATCAATTCGGACAATCGCGTTACAGCACCGCTTGACGCGGAAACAAGAGTCTCAGTGAGTTTTGATAAGAAGAGAGGGATATTGTGGCCTATGTCACATCCTCCTTTTTTTATTTTTGGAAGATCTAAAACATTGGGCACATGTTTAGGATAGCGCTGTTGAAGGTGATCGCTTCGTTTGGGATGTACAGTTCGGTAAACGGGTCCTAGAATTTGCACATTTCGACCCGCTCATCAGCAGAGCTTTTGTAACTGGTTCGCTTCTTCACTGTCGATTTTGAATGGGCTGATGTCCATAATTTAAAATTTTTTTTCGCAGATATACGCCTAGCCATTGAAAGACCAACTCGAATAGCTCTGCAAGATTTTGACCAGAAGAGATCTCTTCGACATGATGGTGAGGCATCCTTCAAAATTTATTAAAAATTGATTGAATTCCACAATTAGTGAAATCATTGAGTAATCTTCAGCTCACCATTTAACAAAAATAGCTGTTTCTAGGCAGACGATATGATCGAGAAATTTCTGAACGACAACAGCTGGAAACTGAAAAACGAAGATTGGAATTCGAATTGGAGCAGGAACGACTAGCTCTGAAGGATGAGGAGATTGTACGAGGGCTAGCGACAAGGTGGCGGCGAGTATTAGCCCATCAAATGCTCCTTTCTAAACATTCCAGAAATTTCCAGGATGTTGGAGGAGGAAAAAGTGAAGAGCGAACATATGGAACGAGTTTTGGCCGAGCTACAACATAAACTCGGACAACGATTGGATACGTTACTTGAGGGTGACATCCCCGAAGTGGAGCAGCGACGAGAAGTTGAATATGAAGAATCTGCAGCTATGGTGGAAAATGGAAATGGAGAGAATGGCGGCAGCTCTAATGACCAAGAAGAAGAGGATGAGGAAATCTGGAAAAAGGATGATTTCCTGATGATTTCCACACAATCCATTTGATTTTTACATTCAAGATAAATAAGTA